AAAAAGAATATCGTATAACCTAATCAATTTCTGTCCTCTCAGGAATTCTGTCCCTAATCTTGAGGACATTGAGTCTCCCTCAGATAATTCACATGCCGTAATCCAGAAATCTCTGTGCCAGCCTTCCTCACACATTTTGGTTTGAAGACTAACAAAGGGGAAAAGGAAAACAGATTCTCAGACTATTTTGTTCATATGGCAAAATAAAGTTTCCTATTACTCGTTTTCCCATTTGGTTCACAAACATGACAGACAATGCCAGTTGCAGAGAACATGCCTCTTTAAACAAATACTGGCTGGGCCAAGGATTTAGCTCAGTGGTTCCACCACCTGCCCTTGCAAGCGCAGGACCCGAGTTTGATACCCAGTACCAAAATAATTAAATAAACAAATACTGGCCATGGTGGAGGGAGATCTCTACTGAGAGTATAGGAAATGGGGAAAAGGATGTTACAATATCATATGAACATTAGCAAAAAGTACTCATTATTTGTAGAAAGTACCTATGTATGATTAAATATACATAGACATGTTATAGAAGAATGCTAAAAAATTAACTCCATGCTTTTTTTTTTTTTTTTTGGTACCAGGATCAAACTTGGGTCCTTGGGTTTGTGAGGTAGGCAGCGGAACCTCTGAGCTAAATCCCCGGCCCAACACCCTGATTTTTTGGAGATGGGCTGGCCTTTAGGGTGGGGCTTAAACATCTTTTACTTTTTACTTCATACCCTTTGACACTATTTGAATTAGTAGTCATAGCATGAATAGTTTTTATAATAAAAATAATGCTAAAAATAGTAGTCATTTAAGGAAAATCACAAGGCTATAAAAAGCAACATGCTAATGATCTATCCCATACCTCCAGCCATGGAGATCACCCTGGATGCAGAGTGAGTTGGGGCTTCAAGGGGAGCAGGAGTGTCCAACCAGTGACCCAAGGGCTACATGTGGCTCTGAACAGCTAATAATGTGGCCCCACAAGACTGTGAACTTCTAAGATTACTGTGTGATTTTTAGGGATATTTTTCATGATTGTGCAGTGCTAGAATGTGGACTGTGTAGGTGACAACAGAATGCCGTATAGGGGAGGGCGCAGTGCAGTGCTAACCAGTCTAACAGAAACCCAGGTGTATCAGACAGCAACTTGGCAAGTGAAACACAGCAATTACTGACAGTATTTGACCCTATTAACCCGTGTGTGTGTGCACATGTGCTTGTGAAGACAGGCATTTCTTGTTACTAAGCAGACATGTAAAGTTTAATTATTAAGCTTGGGCTTGCTGTGCTATTTTGTAAAGCAAGTTAAAATACTAAAAATAAATGAAATTCAGGTTGGGGATTTAGCTCAGTGGTTCCGCTGCCTGCCTCGCAAGTGCAAGGTCCCGAGTTCAATCCCCGGTACCAAAATAAGTAAATGAGATTTTATTGCTTATGTACATTAATGATACTATATTTTATGTATGGCCCAATCCTTCTTCATTCATTGCAGCCCAGGTGAGCCAGAAAGATTGGGCACCTGTGATATAAACTGGTTTATGGAGGCTGTGGCCCCAGGAGAAACTCAGATGAGGGTGATGGAAAGGATGGGGTGGAGGGCAGATGCTGAGAGACTATGTGGCCTCAGTTGAAGTCCAGCTTCCACGTAATCCTCGGGGGTGCAGAGCTCTGGAGCACAAATGACACAAGTTTAACCTGCTGTGAAACAGGGAGTTGGGCTTTTTCTCCCTCTTCCCTACTCAGCCCTTACCTACGGGTGCAGGCTGGGTGAGGAGGAGAGAGGTTACTGCCACATAGCCTGGATCAGCTGGCCACTGGACAGGCGTGACTGCTGTAGGGCAAAGCTGTTGGGGGACCTGGGAGATCACAGGGCTGACCTGAGGGATTCCAAAGGAATCTGGGGGCAACCCTTTAATAACTTGGGAAATGAACAGCTGCAAGGTTTTGGAAGCTGACATTCAATAAAGAAACGAAGAATTTTAAAAACACCAGTTTCAAAGGATCCAGTCAGACTGCAGGAATTTGGTAGTGATGGGAGAATCAGAAGGTGGGAAAAGAGGCTGTGGGCAGCTCACAAGCCTCTTACCCCCAAGAGTGGAGCTACTCAGGAAGGAGACGTTGTAGGAGGCTGCCTTTGGGGTTTTCTGAGGGTGAGGTGTCTTTGTTTTGTTTTGGCTTTTTGAGACAGTCTTGCTATGTAGCCCAGGCTAGCCTTGATTTTGTGAATCCCCCGGCTCTGGTTTCTCCAGTCTTAGGGTTACAAGTGTGGGCTACCATGCCTAGCTCTTTGCATTTTTTTTTTTTTTTACTTCATTGACAATATGTGTCTTATCATTGATTGTATCTTCTTTTCTGCTTTAGCTGCTATGGAAATTCAAATCCAAGGATAAGTAACCCAGGGAATAAGGCCAAATAAAGGCAGGGACTGAGCTAGGAAGGTGGATGCTAAGGTCTAATGTTTCACAGGAGCCTTATGGCCTAACCATGAGCACCCCTGCCCTCACCAAAAAGCCCTGCCCAGCTCCCCTCCTGGCTGGTACCCCTATCAGTTAGGCTGGCTGCTCCTCACCCACTCATCCTAATGGGTGCCACCTCTCTGCCAGTCTGTGAAATTATTAAAATAAGCCAGTCACACCTTTCACAGGAGCTAAGTTCCCTCTGGTTACTACACGGCATGACCCTCACAACTCCTGATGGTTTGCTGTACTCCTGAGTATCTCCTCCCCACACCAGGTGGCCCTGCATATCAGTCTTAGACTTCCTTTTCCAGGCTGTGATAAAATGGAACAAATAATAAACTATTGTCATTCCCATCCTTCCAGTGTCAGGGTTGTATATTCAGCTACCTCATACTATTTGGGGCGGGGGACCCTCTGTCATTAATGGGGTGAAGAACTGATCAGAACAGGAATGTTTTGAGTCCTAAGGCTTTTTAGGAGCCCAATTAGAGCATGATGCAGGTGCATATCCTTAATACCAGCAGTCCAGAGCCTGTGAAGCAAACCTTGACTTCTGCACAATGCAGTAAGTTGAAACTTTAAAACCTGACTGATATAATTCAGGAAGTATTGTAGAGCCAAAAACAGAAGATGCATATTAAAGAAACCCCCTTCTTATTTCACTTCTTGCAACAGCAAAACTGTCTTCCAAAATATACTACATAACTTGACTGCAGTACCAGGCTGGCCTGAAAAGTGAACTACTGAAATTCAGACCCTATAACGAAGAGACTTGTTTTCTTAGTTCTATACTGATAAAAGGGAAATCATCACCAGAATAAGGACTTTCTGTTCATTCTTCTGGACTCTATTACAGATTATCTCTCCACTTGAGAATTGAGTTTTATGGAGCAAAATTTGCCTGAATCTGGCTTGATGTTCAGCAGTATCAATATATACATATATATATATATAT